TGAAAAGATTTGAACATATATATATACAGGTTTTAGTGAGGCCCAAATCAAATGACTTAAAGTTGTATTAGTGCTCTGAGTGTCCCTTTCATCAAATAATGTGTTGGTTAATTTGTTAGTTAAGTTGGTAGTTAAATATTAAATATCAATACCAAAGTCATTGAGCTTCATTTTGTTGATTTCAAATGCATGAAAATAACATACTAAATTAACTGTGCTGGTAAACACAAGCTGTCTGATCATCGAAGTCTTTTAGTTCCTCTTCTTGATCTTTCAGCACTTTACAAACCATAGACTTATGTCCTTTTAAAAGTGACACTATTCTCTTGGTAAACTAGATACAGTACATTATTGATTTAATCATGTTTTGTCCCTTTTAGCAAACGATCACCCTTCCAAGAAATTTCTACAGTATACAGATTCCACGCTATCAAACTATCCACTACAAACAGTGGATCTCTTGTTACAGGTCACAGTTTTTTCCTATAAATAAATAATATAATATATGTATAGTAACTCACAAAAGTGAGTAAATCCCTTAAATTTTTGAAAATATTTTATTATATCTCTTCCTGTGACAACACTGAAGAAATTACACTCTGTGTCATGATCTTGAGCAGGTCAGATAGGAGACTTTGGCCAGGGTTGTTATTTGAGACTTTATTGGTCCTTTTAGACATATTATGAAACTTGAGAAAAAACTGAATTAAGGCAATATGCCACAAAACAGGATACTTGCAAATAATAAAGAAAGTCTGATCTCCAGGTAGGGTTTAAACAAAGGCAGGTTGGTATCAAATGCAGGCTGGTTACAGAGGCAGGCTGGTAACACAGGAACAAAAAGAAAAGTCCTGCGCTCACTCACATCACTCCTGGGCGGCAGCAACGACCACAGTACACATCAGCTCTAATACATATAGTAAAAACAAAAGAAAGAAGTTACATGCGCTCTCTCCTTAATCCCTATGTATATTTAAACAAATGGAGGTCATTTAGTTCTTAAGCGAATGAAACTACAGAACAATCAGACCACCCCAGTAATAAGTGTGTCTCCAATTACTGTTCGCAACAATGTTGCAAACGGGTAATTGGCGGTTCGTGCAGTGGGTCCTTTGTTCGCTGGGTGGCCGCCATTAGGGAGACAAACACGTGGCGGCGGCCATTTTAAACTCCCGAACAGCTGTGTTTGCCGTCTAGTGTCTGGAACCCAAATCGGACACTCAGTTAGGCAAACACCGCTGAGACCTCCACACTGCCGTCAATTCGTATACAAACTACCAAACGGCTTCTCGTTCGGTAGTTTGAATCCCACGAACAAGGGAAATTACATGAAACATCCCCAGCTCTCCTAACATAAGTCATTCGTGTGTTACATTCCCTTTTCTGTGACCGACCGTAGGGCCAAAACACATGGAGCCATTTTCGGCTGGTAAACCCAGTGCGGTCGGTCATTTTAGGACTTCCATAAATTTCCCGAACCCCTGGTCCGATCTGGGTGATTTTTGGATATGTGTCTCACCCAGATCAGGGCTACCAGGGGATGTAACATCTAAAGGGGTACCCCTATGTTTAGGGGTACATCCAGAAACTCTGTGAATTTGTGTCCTGCATAAGGTGATTATGTGTCACACTAAGGGAAGGGGATGTGTGGGTGGCAACTCGTGGAGGATTGGCTACTGTACTAATTATTGCAAATCCCTCCCCTGCATGGGAGAATGCTTTATAAGGAAGTTGTGTGCATTAAAAGTCAGTTCTGCTCCTGATGCTGTGTGTCGTCCAGTCATTGGGATCTGTATGGGGATATTTGTGGATTACTTTGCTTGCTGGAATTATTACTTCATGGTATTTTTACTACTTGTTCCTGAGCCTCACTGGGATCTCTACTGGAGTTAACCTGGGGAATACCAGGCCTCCGCTACAGTGGGATTCAGCCGGTTCTCAAATGTAACAAGTTTGCCGAACTGATGATTAACCTGGCCAACTGAAGTGTCGGCCCTCAGTCCATGACCGAGGGACGACACCAGGAGGGGGCCTGGTGGCTTGCCCTGAATGCCACCAGGTGCAGGGCCCCTTCGTGTAGTCTACCACTGCCTCCAGTTTGCAGCTCCTCCAGGCACAGAGCTGCAGACCATGGAGTAGAGACCTCACGATCTTCAGCAAAACAGAGCGTTGCCACGGGTTTCCATGGCAACGCTGTGACATATCAAGTACTCCATTGTTTGCAGCACTGCACCCGGCGGAGGCTGTGGCAGACTGGATACCTAGCCCAGTGGAGCACCAGGGAGGAGGAGACCACTGAATCACCAGAAGGAGGAGATCACTGGACCACCAGGGAGGAGGAGACCACTGGACCACCAGGGAATGGATTACACAAAAAAAAGGTATTTAACAAAGCCACAGCCTCCCCACATGCCACCCTACCTCTCCACTGCCACCATCCCCTCACACTACCATCCCCCCAGCTGTCACCATCCCTCACACTACCCCCACCTGCACTGTCACCACCCCCCATTGTCATCATCCCCCACTGTCCCCATCCACCCCTACTGTCTTTACCACTCCCACTGTCACCATCACCCCATTGTCACCACTTCCTACACCGTCACCACCACCGCCAACGTCACCACCCCCCCGTTGTCACCACTTCCGATACCGTCACCACCACTCCACTGTCACTATTCCCCCATTGTCACGTCACCACTGTCATCATCTCCTCCCACTGTCAGCACTTCCTAAACTGTCACCATCCCCCTCACTGTCACCACTTCCCACACTGTCACCTCCCCACTGTCACACTACCCACACTGTCAGGACCACCCACACTGTCACACCACTGCAACTGTCACCACCCCCACTGTCACCACCTCCCCTACTGTCACCACTTACCACACTGTCATCACCACCCCCACTATCACCACTTCCTACACTGTCACCACCTACCCCACTGTCACATCCCCCCACTGTCACCACTTCCTACACTGTCACCACCTCCCACACTGTCATCACTTCATACACTGTCACCTTCCCTCCACTGTCACCTTCCCTCCACTGTCACCATCCCCCTCTCACTGTCATCACTTCCCACACTGTCCCCTTCCCACACACACTGTTACCACCCCCCCTATTGTCACCATCTGCCCCACTGTCACCATCCACCCTACTGTCACCACCTCCCATACTGTCACCATCCCACATCGTCCCCATCCCCACACTGTCACCATCCTCCTACTGTCAACCTCCCACACACACAATCACCCCACACTGTCACAATCTACTCACTGTCACCCTCCAACACACAGCGTCACCATCCCCTCACACTATAATTTCCCACACTGTTACCATCCCCTCACACTGCCACTATTCACACACACTACCACTTCCCAATGTCACCATCCCCTGATCACCCCCACTGTTCCTCCAGCAACTTTCAGCACAACGGGAGCACCTTTAGAGGTAGCGTGTTGATTTAGATGCAGGGATAGCAGTGTTAGATGGGGAGAGACATGTTTCTGTTAAGGCTAGTAAGTCTAGGGAACAAGAGATGAAATGGTCGTGCACAGCAGTGGATTTAGTAATGTTGCAAACAGACTGTGCATTCCAGAGGGCAGTATGGAAGGAGGATTTAAAGGTGGAGTAACATGAGATGGTTATGAGATTGGTTTGGTTCCTTGAGTTAGTACATGGTGGGTTTGCTGAGGTGGGACCGGGGTTTGGAGAGACATCACCAGCTGCTTTGAGCACAATGATAGAAAGGAAGAGAAGGTGGTAGTAGGATTTGAAAGTTTTGTAAGAGGGTTTGTATTTATAGGATTTAGAAAGAGTTGGCGGAGATAGGCTAGAAAGGTATAAGTAGAGTGCATGAGATGAATAGAGAGGGGAGGGGAGTAAAGTGGAAGCAGTGAAGATGTTGTCAGGAGGGATAGGTAAACAGAAGGCTAGGGATATTTTAGTAATGATACACCTTAAGAAAAGATGCAAAACCAGTGAACCACTCATGGACAGCTGTTTCATTGTTAATGCAACTCATCAGCATGAGGTTGGTTACTGGCAGTGGCGTACACATGACCCATGGGGCCCCGGTGCGAAAATTGATCCGTGGGCCCCCCCCCCCGCGCGGGCCGGGCCGCAACACATGGCGGTGGGCACCTGGTCGCAGGGGTTACAGGGCTGCGACCCCTGCGACCGCGGTATGTATGCCAGTGCATGCAGATGCACACACACTTAAAGGACCACTCTAGGCACCCAGACCACTTCAGCTTAATGAAGTGGTCTGGGTGCCAGGTCGAGCTAGGGTTAACCATTTTTTCATAAACATAGCAGTTTCAGAGAAACTGCTGTGTTTATGAATGGGTTAAGCCTTCCCCTATTTCCTCTAGTGGCTGTCCCATTGACAGCCGCTAGAGGCGCTTGCGTGCTTCTCACTGTGATTTTCACAGTGAGAGCACGCCAGCGTCCATAGGAAAGCATTATGAATGCTTTCCTATGTGACCGGCTGAATGCGTGCACAGCTCTTGCCGCGCGTGCGCATACAGCCGACGGGGAGGAGAAGAGGAGGATAGGAGGAGGAGAGCTCTCCACCCCTTTCCAGAGCCAGGCGGGAGGGGGTCCCTGAGGGTGGGGGCACCCTCAGGGCACTATAGTGCCAGGAAAACGAGTATGTTTTCCTGGCACTATAGTGGTCCTTTAAAGGACCACTACAGACACCCAGATCACATCAGCTCAATGAAGTTGTCTGGGTGTCAGGTCCCTCTAGTTTTAACCCTGCAGCTGAAAACATAGCAGTTTCAGAGAAACTGCTATGTTTCACTGAGGGTTAATCCAGCCTCTAGTGGCTGTCTCACGGACAGCTGCTAGAGGAGCACACTGAACGTCCATAGGAAAGCATTGAGTAATGCTTTCCTATGGGCGGTTTGAATGCGTGCGCGGTCGCATTCGGAGCTGAGAGGCTGAGGGATCCTCAGCGCCAAGGGAGTCCGGCGCTGGAGAAAGGTAAGTGCTGAAGACACACACACTCTCACTTACAGACGCATACACACTAGCTAACAGACACACACATTTACTGACAGAGATACAGTCAGCGACAGACATACATACACTCTCACTTACAAAACATACACTCTCATTGACAAACACACACTCACTAACAGACATCAAACAGACTCAGTAAGACACACACAGTAACACACTCACTGACACTCACTAGCAGACACACACACTAACACTCACTAGCAGACACACACTAACACTCACTCTAACACTCACTCTAACACTCACACTAACACTCACTCACACTAACACTCACTCTAACACTCACTCTAACACTCACACACACTAACACTCACTCTAACACTCACACACACACTAACACATGATTTTTTTTTTTTTTAATATAATCCCCCCAGCCTCCTTACCTCTTGGAGTGCTGGGGGGGATTATTCCCTGGGGTCCAGTGGGGCTCCTGGGCGGGTGGCCGGTCGGGCAGGCAGGCGGGCGCGCGAGGGAGCTCTCACTGCTTCCTCTTCAGCTCCCTCGCGCGCCGCGTAGGGATGCCGGCGCTGGAAGATGACGTCATCTTCCGGCTCCGGTATCATTGCGGTGCGCGAGGGAGCTGAAGAGGAAGCAGTGAGTGCTCCCTCGTGCGCCCGCCTGCCTGCCCGACCGGCCACCCGGGGTCAGCAGGGCCAGCCTCAGGGGGGCCCTGGGGTGATCGGCTCCTGGGCCCCCCAGGGGAAGAGGCTGGCCCTGGGCGTACATACCGGGTCGCAGGGGCGGCCGGGCCCCCTGGTGGGCCGGGCCCGGTCGCAGTCGCGACCCCTGCGACCCTGGTATGTACGCCAGTGATTAGACCCTTCTATTTGACTCTCAGATATGAAGTGCACCCCACTAAAATACTATTTAGCAGTTTAGCACCGAAAAAATGTTAAGTTTTAAAACTGCAATGAGACAGCAGTATTTGACGCTTCTATTTGACTCTCACATTTGAAGTGCACCCGACTAATGTACTTTTAGGCACCCAAAAAAATGTAAGTTTTAAAACTGCAATGTGACAGCAGTATTTGACGATTCTATTTGACTCTCAGATATGAGGAGCACCCCACTAATGTACTTTTTAGCACCCAAAAAAATTTAAGTTTTAAAACTGCAATGTGACAGCAATATTTGACGCTTCTATTTGACTCTCACATTTGAAGTGCACCCGACTAATGTACTTTTAGGCACCCAAAAAATTTTAAGTTTTAAAACTGCAATGTGACAGCAGTATTTGACGATTCTATTTGACTCTCAGATATGAGGAGCACCCCACTAATGTACTTTTTAGCACCCAAAAGAATTTAAGTTTTAAAACTGCAATGTGACAGCAGTATTTGACGATTCTATTTGACTCTCAG